CACACACACACACACACACACACACACACACGTTCATGTTGGACCATCTGACGTCAGGATGGGAGGAGGCAGCCAGAACGAGGCTCCAGACGGTCAGTAGTTGGCCCTGAGCCGGCGGTTCTCCTCCTTCAGCCTCTCGATCTCCTCCACCAGAGAGTCGTTGACGGAGTATTTCTCTATCAGACAGTGGATCTCAGTCTGAAACACAAACACAGAACCATAAAACACCAGAAAGTCACATCTGACCATCAGAGGAAAGCTTGGACGAGTCTGTCGTACCAACTGGATGTAAAACTGTCGGATCATCTCCACCTGGAGGTTGATGATGTCTTTGTGACAGGCGTTCCTGAGGAGGAGAAGCTTGTTCATGTCACTGCCATAAAAGCTCAAACACACCAAATCAATCCGCCTCTGAAAATAGTCCCCACTAAAAGGCTAGCTGATTTTTCTCTGAAGAGAGGTCAGAGGTCAGACTGACCTGAACTCCTCCAGAGTTTCGTGGATCATGTTCTGGATGAAGTGGATCTGCAGGGAGGTGAGGGGAGCAGCTCCGGCCTGTCCAACCACGTCGGCGATGTTCTGAGAGAGAGTCGAGGAAACGGCAGCCGACAGACCTGAAGGCAGAGGAAACATCGGAATCTCCCACACAAGCAGCTGACCCTGAACTCAGCGCCCAATTCACAAGCCTATTCCTACAGAGTCCCACAGACAGTGAACTAACCACGGTGATATCGACCTTAGTGGGAACTGAACCCTCGGCCTCAGAACTGCTGCTGCCCGACTCTACCTGCTGCTGCAGAGGTGGTGGGTGGAGCTCCGTGGACAGGCGAGTCGTAGCTCAGCTGAGCCTGAATGCCATTGGCTCTCCGGAGGCTGGGCTCTGGCGTGAAGAAGGGCGGGGCCAGCTGACTGTGATTGGCTGACTGTGACATAGGGGGCGTGGACTGACTCTGTGTCTCCAGACTGGAACAGCTGACTTTGTCAGACTGAGACAGATCAAAGTTCAGTTAGGTGCACCTGCGTTGTCACAGGTGTAGAGGTTAAAGGTTAAAGGTCATCACCTTTCTGGAGTCACACAGTTCTCCAGCTACAGCTGTGTTTGGCTCCTCCTCTTTGATAGCCGGAGGGGTCTGGAAGACGGACAGCGGGCTGTAGCACCTCCCCGCCGAGGCTGCGAGCGGCGTTCCCAGTGGCGTCTTCCTGTGAGAGCTGGGACCTGCGTCTGAAGCACAGTGCAGACATTCTTTAACCTCCAGGTGACCTCACCTGGACCTTTAGGCATTTTAAATGGGCGTTGAACTCTGACCTTCTCTGAGTGGAGAGAAGATGTCCAGGCTGGACCGGCCTGTTAGCTGCTGACCCTCCCCCTCTCTAGACATCACCTCCAAAGTGGTAACTAAGGAAAAAGAAACACAGCGTCAGGATTGGTCCGACGGCAGCGTCGCTTCAAACGCATCTGGTGACCTCTCGTACCCTGTCCTCGTCCAAATGGCGTGTTCGCGGTGGTCCCGTGGGTAGGCGGGTCTGGAAGAAGGAGAGTCACGACTGAAATGGATTCAGTTAGAGGTGATGACAGAGAACGTCTGTGAAGGTTCTCAGTCATCCAGGTCGTCGCAGTCAAAGCTTTCAAAGAAGAGCGTCTGGACGTTTCTCAGATGAGGTGAAACGTCTTCAAGCAACTTAAAGAAGTCCAGACGCTTTTCTTTGAAAGCTCCTTTGATAACAGAGAATGCTGCGATTTACAAAAACAAGGCAACGTTAGTGAATGCAGCATCGGATTTCAGCCAATCACAGGCTGCCTCTGACCTTCGCGAGCGGGAGAGAAGATGTCCAGACTGTTTCGTCCCACGCTACTGAACTGCTCCGCCCCCTGCTGGCCTTCAGCTTCCCGACACATCCCGTCCACAGCAGCGCCTCCTGCTGAACACGTGCTGTAATTACGGCTTCATCATCATCAGACAGGACGACCGTGATTGGCCACACTGCCACAGGAGCTTCAAGCTCAGTAGCCTTATTTATCTGTGTGGGGAAAATGCGTCCACAGTGACCTACGGCGTGGAACCCACCTGTGTTTGTCACCTGTCTGTTGGGGGCAGGGCCTGTGCTGGCGGTGGGATCTGGTTGGCTGCTGGGGAGCTTGGTGGAGGATCTCTTAGAGCTGGAAGTTTTTGAGGAGCCAGTTTTACTGGACTGAGACAAGAAAGAGAAAAGAAGCAGGTTTAGACACACTGAAGGAAAAATTGATATTATTCCCATCTTCCACCTGAGAGTCCCGAGGATGGCACCTTGTGTTTGCTGGCGTTGCTCTGGAAGCGCAGGCAGGTCACTGAGGTTTTATGGGCCACTGTGATCCTGGTGGGGGCGCTGGAGTTTCTCAGGTCGTACTGGTAGATCTTCCCGCGAGTGGACCCGACCACCAGCCCAGTACCGTCCAGAGTGAAGTCCACAGCTGTCAGAGGACTGTCCACGCGGATGGACCTCAGGACGCTGGAGACGCAGACGAACACGCCGTTAAACACAAAGTGGAACAGATTTTCTCCACAGATAAGGAGCTTCAGCTCATGCTGCTTTGCTTTGGTTCTGGACAGAAAGTTTTATATTAACAGGAAAAAACACGATGAGACTCATTTTAAAGTCTAGAAGTCTTCTGCAGTCTCCTGAAAGGAAGCAGGTGAAAGACTCGATGAGCTCGAGAGCGCCCTCTATGGAACAGGAGCTCCACAGAGGGCGTGACAGCCTTGTGACCGAGCAGGTCCCGGGACGTGAGCGATCGGACTCACATCTTGCTGGCGGTGTCGTAGCAGACGATCTTCTTGTCCAGGCCGACGCTGACGACCAGCAGGTCGTTGGTGGGCGAGAAGGCCAGGCCGGAGCCCGGGGCCTTGTGGGCGCCGTCGAACACGTGCAGCTCCTTCTGGGTGTTGGAGTCCCACAGCACCACCGTTCCGCTGTCAGACACGCTGCCCAGCAGGGAGCGCTTCACCGCGGACAACCTCAGGTCGTGGATGGGCTGGAGATCAGATTATCAAGCAGTAATACAAACATTCATTTGCTGTCTTTTAGTTACAGTCTTTACATACAGACTCTGACTCTGAACAGAGTGAAGCATAAACACTGAGCCCCTCCTCCACTCTCTGGTTAACTCTGAGCCTGCAGAGACTTTATAACGTGATGAGGTGAATAAACTGAAAGCACACCTCCACCTTTTGGCTGCTCCCTCTTTGTCCTCCTTCACTACAGTCATATCACCAACTCACCTGGGCAGCTGCACATGAACAGCTTTAAAAAAAAACAAACGATATGAAAGTGGAGGTCTGACCTGGTTGCTGCCGTGGCCGAACGGCCTGCTGGACAGGTTGGTGGTCAGACTATGGAGGACTAGGTCTCCGCTGGTGGAGCCGGAGGCGACGTAGCTGTCGTTGGCATTAAAGGACACGCATGTCACCTCCTCCTTATGGTCCTGAGAGAAAAGGAGGCCATGTTTATCCCGCTCAGGGGTAAAGGAACCCGGAGGTGGCGTGAGGTCCTACCTTGAGGGAGCGGTGCAGTCTCGTGGTCTTCAGGTCCCAGATGTGCACGCAGTGATCGAGACCTCCGCTGACCACAAACTGAGACGAGGAGCTCAGACACACCCGGGTCTGCTTTTTCTGAACACAAACCAGCACCGTTACACTTCAGAGACCGAAGAGCTCTCAGTGAGACACTTACCAGACTGACTCGGCTTTCTAAAACTTCACAGCATAACTAAAATCTTTAGTTTCCCTCTTTTCCCTGAAACCTAAACTTCACTAAAACACCTGGAAGAACAGCTGGTATCAGATTTCTAAAGCTCAGTGTTTTGGTTTTAGGAACTGAAGGAGAATTTGGACCCAGAGACAAACAATAACGTCTCAGGCTTTAGTCTTCTTTTACCCCTCTGCAGTCTTTAAAGAGCTGAGACTCACCCCGTCGGCCAGCTCCACCACCGGCACAGGAGTCGACTTGAGGCTGGAAACGACCAGCTTGTCCCCACTGCTGCTGGCGCTGACCAGGTACTGGTCTGAGAGGACTGGTCAAGGCTGATTCACAGATCTAAAGGTGATTTATGCAGCTCACTCTGACAGGGCAGCTCTGCATGATTCATAGTTTAAAATAATCTTTCTTTGTCTCATACTGTTCATGACCTGTCTGAAAGAAGCTGCTTTAGCTCCTCCCCCTTTAGGACATTTTTATTGTGATTGGCTGCCCCTTGAAATTAAACCGCCAACTGAGATCATAAACTCATCAGGAAGTGCTTACTGAGCTCAGGGTGACCAAAGATGTGTATACAATCAGACAGAGTCGCCGCCCCCTGCTGGACATGACAAAGACAGCAGATTTCCATCTTTCATGTCCAGGCTGTGGTGACTTAGTGACAGCAGGATACTGTTGGAGCTCCAGCAGGCCTGAGCGACAGGGTGGCTTGTGCTGTGTGGGTTAAACTGCTCCACCGGCGCCATGGAAACCGCATCCCAGATCTTCACGCAGTCTCCGGTCGACATCAGCCGTGTCACCTCCTCCATGGTAACAGCTGGAGAAAATAAACACATGCACAGAGAGTTGTATCCTCGCAGGCCGTCACTATTAGTTTTACAGCTCATCATTGCTTTTGCCAAAAAGCACAAACAACATAAAAGTTTTCCATTAAACAATGATCAGAACTACATGACTATAGAAGGGAAAAAACAGGAATAAACACAGGAAGATGGATCGGATTTACATTTTACTTTTTGGCTTTTAGAAACCGACAAAGCCAAAAATGTGCATGTCTACTTTTCCCACTGAATTCAAAACAAGATTCTATTTAATTTATTTTCGATTGTGTTTATTTCCTTTACTGTTCAGCGCTCTGAAATCTGGTTTTAAAAAGTCTTATAGGAATGTAGAGTTGAAAAGCTGGTGCAGTAACTCCAAGTATCAG